TAGGGAAAGCTCCTACTTTTATTTTACTCTAATTTGCAGAAAGTGAACTTTTCTACCCTGGGGAATGTATAACATGCTTTAATTCTCCTGTGCAATATGAAGTTTCATTTCTACCTGGGAGAACTTTTACAGTCTTTGCATTCTCCTTCGCCTGAGGAAGGGTGCAAGAGCTGGAAAGCTTGCATATAGATTTTTTTTTTTTTTGGCAAATATCTAGTTGGTCTAATCAGGGTTTGAACTACACTTGAAATCTTGGTGGGGGTCTGCAAAAAAAAAAAAAAAAATGGAGCACCCATCACAATGCACTAATAAAATTGGAGACCCCCCCCAGGTTATGATTTTCAAATCTTACAGAGGGGCTCTCATCTATTATGGGGAGGCTCAGACCTCCCAAGCTCCCCCATAATTCAAACCCTGGGTCTAATAAGAGATATCACCTCTACCAGGGTTTCTGACTGCTTTTGCCTATAGACCAAGAGGGCTACAACCTGTACCCTTTCAAAATGTACGATAACTTTTGAGGCATCTAATTGATGCAACATATGATTGATGCAAGTCACTCTGAGGGAAGCTTAACTGATTTGGGGTTTGCTATCAGCACTTTCTTATGACTGCTTGCCTCAAAATAAAAGAAATAATGTTTCAACTTTGATGACCCAGTTCTCACTCACTCACTGGCGTGTTATAGTGAGCAATATAAAAGTAAATGAAAAGACTTATTTGCATGTTTGCTTGCATTTTTTTTCCAGTGTACGATGTTTTTTCAGCAAATATGATAATTTTGAACTTCCAATACAATAAATTCACATTTAAAAACCTAGCAATGCTGGCACAGAGTCCTCTCACCCGCTCCCCTGGAGAGGACAAGTCCAAAGGGCGAGGCCCGCTGTGGAGTGGCGTCATGCTGAATTTCACTACTTCAGGGATTAATCAGGAACAGAGAGAGTTTGAGAAACAGCCCTGCCATTATTTGCTTTGCAAGTTAGTTGCTTTTGTCCAGAAAAGCGGGGTTTGTTTTGGTTTTTTTGTTTGTTTGTTTTTTTTAAATGTTTTCTGGACATAGCAGCTAAGCACAGGGGCTGCGTTTGTTCCCCATCCTTTTCTCCAGAAACTGTCCAAGTTAATTACAGTGTTTTTTCAGGTTTTGTCCTAGGAGGAACTTTTTGGTTACGCAGGTTGTCAAGCATTGGAGCAGGCTACCTAGAAAAGTTGTTGCATCTCCTTCCTTAGAAATATTAAAAAGAGCTGGTTAGACAGACTTGGATGGTTTGGTTGTGTTTATTCTGCCTTGTGAGGTTCCTCCCAGCCTTATGTTTTAACAATCTTACATGCTAAGGATTTTTTTAGAATTATTATTTTGCAGAAAAGTAGTATTTGGAGGCCTCAACTCCAAACCAGAACCTTCTTGGGCTGTGTATATAAATATAACTAGACCTTCCTAAGTAACATTTTAGAAGACCATCTGGTAGAAACATGTTATTTTGTAGGACGAATATAAATGCTTGTCAAAGTCAAAAGCCTTAATCTGTGAGCAGTTTTGGCAGGAATAGTTGAAATTAAAAATAAAGAAAGAAAGAAAGAAAGAAAGAAAGAAAGAATCAATCCACCACTCTCATTGTTGCAAGTAACTGTGTTTATCATTTTACATGAGAGAGAAAAGCAAACAGGATGTGGCTCCATTTTCGCTCTGTACACAGTATAGCAAAAATTGCCTCAGTTATTTTCCTCTTTTCCTCCCTCCAAAACTCAATTTCTCCTTGTAAACCATGGAGCATTTAGCTTAGAGCTGAAATGTATGCAGTTTGTTGAAGTGGTCTAAGACACTCGTTCTGCTTCCCTAGCATCATGCTTTCCTATATCAACTGATTTAAATACATTTGTTCTTCTGTTTTTGCAACACCATAAGCATACTCAGTACTTTGGCAAGACAAGATTCCTGTTGCAATGTCACATAGAGTTTAACATGTATATTAAAAGAATTTGGGGATAGTATGGAAAGGCAGGGGCAAAGGAAACCTGCAATGTAAGTGAAAAATATTTAGCAAATTATAGTTGGCAGATTTTTTGTTTAGTTTTCTATATATGTTACATGTAAGCCTACTATTAAGTGTTTTTAAACAAGTTTATGGAGGACCTAATTATGGCACCTTAATGCAGCTCTGATCCAGTAAATCACTTAAATATGTGAGTTTTGTACGCTCTTATCACAAAGAGTTCTTAGCAGAGGGCTCCCAAGGTACTTCCATAATATAAATAAATAAAATATTATGTCCATAACTTTAAGCACAGTCTTAAAGTCCTAAGACTGTATTTCCATGTTTACAGAGTCCTGAAGTTCCTGATACGTCTGTCGGCGGTTGTACGATCATGTTTTCAAGTATCAAGAAAGTAATCTCCAGTTAAGGGCCTAGCAATCCAGCAGCCAAACTCTAGCCAAGTCTCTTGGGGACACTACAAGTACTCCCAGCAATCCGTTGCATCACTACATTACAATATCACTGCCACAGAGCAGTGTTTCTCAACCCGAGTCGCTTCCCAAAAGTGGGTCACAAGAATATATGAAAGGGTCGCAAACAAGCTTTAAAAATGGATCAACAAACCTTAAACATGGATTCTCCTTTAAAGGAGAAAAACATGGGAAACCATTAATTTTCCATTGCAAGCTGGCAGAGTTCCAGCCTGCAAGGACCTGCTTGGGCACATCATTTTCAAGGGGAAGTACTGCCTTGGGACTCCAAAAAAAACCCCTTGTCTGCTCTCCCTCTCCTGAAGGACCCCTGGATGGGGTCCAGTCAAGGGGTTAGCCTCTGGGTTCAAGACCTTGGCTCTTTGTCCCTGGCTTCCATAGGGATCCTCAGGGAGGATCCTCACCCCTCACTTCAGGGAGCTCTTTCTTGCTAAGCTCCTGGGAAGTTTCTAAGGGGGGGGGGGCAGGGAGAAAAGGGTCAGAGTGCCAAAATGCCAAACACTATAATAAGACTGCTCAGCTCTCGTGTACCACTGCAATTTCCTCCGCCCTCCCTGAAATTATTCCTTTCTCTACTGAGCTTTTTCTGAGCCTCTCTCCTTCTCAGGCATAGTCAGCTATCCCTGCAACAAAACTGTTATGAAACTATAGTATTAACTTAGGGACCAACACTTACCCAATCAAATGAAACATTGTTATGGGGAACCAATCAGGGAGCAGTCTTTGCGGCCTGCTGCCAGGCCTATATTTAGGGTGACCACTTTTTCAAAATGGAAAGACGGGACACATGCCAACCTTCCTACCCGCCACCCACTAGTGGTATTGCTGGAGTGGAGTGAGGGTGGATGTGGGCTCCCCGCCCTGCTGCCTTTCCTTGGGGCACAACTCCGCACTGCCGCCACCAGGCAGGCAGGGGGCTTGTGGCTGGCTTGGGGCTCCTGAGGGAAAGGCAGCAGGGTGGGGAGCTCTGAGCCTGCAGCAGGCAGCCCACATCCACCACTATCCCACACACAAATCTGAGGGGCACATGCCCCCCTCATGTCTACCCTGGGGGGTACATACAGCAGCAGGGAGCCACTCCCTCCCTGCACCCTCTAGACAAGCCACTCATTGCTCCCTCGTGCACCCCACCCTGGCCCCAGACCCTATACACTACTCTAGCTGGGTACCACCCTCAGCCTCAGCCCCTATCCCACTCCCTCCCTCACTGTGGGAGCCTTGATCTGCCCCCTCATGCCCCTTCCCCTTCCCCCCCCAGACTTACTTGTAGGGAGCTGCTGTCTGTGCTGCCTGGCTATATTACTGGCCACATTCGTGTGTGTGGGCGTGCACATGCATATGGCACCCCTGCTCCCAGCAGCAACGAAAATGTGATTGCCAAAGCTTTGTCATGA